CACCTACATCGTCCATATAGGACGACTCGGGAACTCAACTCCTACCCCGGGCAGCTCACCGATCCCCTTATGCCCAGGGGAAAGGTATCAAGCCGTTTGACAGCAGATGCTAGCTGTCAAACCGGCTTTTACGCAAAACAGGCGGGAGGCAGCAAACAGCTGCGACCAGCGAAATCGCCTGCCACCGGAAGTCTAAAGTTAGTCTGTATTGATTAAATATTCATACAATGCTCAAATAAATGCATATGATTAATGTCACAGCTTTTGCAGATGAATATATTTGCCAGATATAATGTTCACAGTGGTAACAATCATATAGTAATAACAGTTGCCTGTCAGCCATACTTATTTAGCATATTGATTTTAAAAGTTTCCTTTTTTTAGATCAGATCAAGTGATGGAACTTATGGTTTTGGTTTGGAAGACAAAAACAAAGCACCAATTGTTAAAACAGTAGAAAAGGGCTCAAATGCTGAGGTAATACAGCCTTATTCATAACTGTCCTAATTATTACATTTCTGCTCATAGAAAAGTTCACATGTGATTTGACAATCACTTCAATTATAAAGTTTTACTTTAATAATTTTAATTGATTTGTGTGTGTGTAAATTATTAAGGAATACCCCAGAGCATTTATAAAATGTAAATATTTGTATTACTTTATCATGTAGAAATTAAAAACATACAATATGGATGATTTCACACATTGCAATTAAGCCAAACTGTTTTTCTTTTTTTTAAATTTCAGCGTAGCATGTTGTGAAAATCCAGTTTGGCTAACACTGGATATGGCCCTGATACCTAGCAGTGCTGGCATTTTAAGTTTTTTGCATCGGAGTTTTAATGTTTTCTTTTAAACTATGTTCAACCTACTTGGAGATTACATTATATTTTTCTCACGATTTCTACCTCAAAATATGAATATGTGTGCTCCTGATTTTCAGCAGTGATTAGAATGGCTTTTTAGGGGCTGCAAAAAATAGCGCTTGGGAGTGCTGTACAGAGAATTATTATCAGCTATTTATACCTTCTTGGTGTTTAAGCTAATAGTCAACATCTGTAATTTCCTAAAAGTGTGAACTTTGATATCTTAATGTTATTGAAAGAAACATTACTTTTCACATTTAGGGGAAGAATTATAAAGAACTGTATATAATTGTTAGGTGTGTGAAGATTAAGAGAGCTGAGAAAATTGCTGTATATACAGTATGTCTATATATTGCAGGTGATTTTTTTAAGGTTACCTAGATGCAGAACTTTGAGAATCATTTTTGCAGAATAAGAAATATATTTGTGCAATACAATTTTACACATAGTTACTTAAAAGTAGGTTCATGGATAAGCATGTAAGAGTTTCCATGTACAATAAATTAATGTTGCCTTGGGGACGGTTGTAGCCTAGCAAAGAATACTTATTAAAATGTTCATTCGGGATTATCTGGTCCACCAATAATATTAAAAAATGTGTCATCTCCCACTGCCTTGCCATATCTGGATAGTTTTTAGTAGGACTATTAAAATGAATAAATTTCATGTGATTGCTAGAATATTAAATTCACACTATTAAAACATTCTTTTGAATTAATAATTTGTTGTTCCAGTCTACATTTTGAAGGCCTATTAATCAAAGTCACCATTTTCCTAGCAGATGTTGGGTTTCTAACAGTACAGAAATGATCTACCAATCTTCTTCATAAAAAATGTATGTGGAGGAATCTGAGTTCCTTATTAGGAAAAAGAACTTAAGGTTTTTAGTTACATGTCTAATAAAGAACTGTCTCTTCTTACAATATCTAAGGCCTTTTATATTTCCTGAAAGAACTCTATGTAGGCATATCATGAAAAATTGTTAACCACTTATATTATTTAAAAAAACTGCACAGATAACTATTAGATAACAAAAGACAAAAACAATTACAAAACCTTTCAAGCAAGTGCCATAATAATCTCATTACAGAATTACAAATGCTAGATTCACCATCCCTCTTTACCCAATGCTCGAAGGAAAAGCCAGATCTTAATTGTCCTCTGGGAAGCAAGAAAATTAGGGACTGTCTGAGCCTTATAGACCCAGATTTGACAAAAGAGCAAGCGCCAACCTCTTCTGCATCTGAGGGAGAACAATTTCTTATACTTGACCTGCTGAAAGCATAGAATAGTTAAAAAAAACAAAACATATTATTGAGCCAAAACAACAACAACAAAAAATCTTTATCTACAAAGTTACTATTAATTTAAGTCATGCATTTTCTTAAGCATTTTCTCAAATGAAGTTGTATTGGTAGATAGATAAGTGAATCTATTTAATCCACCATTAATTTAAACTTTAAGCTGTCAAGTTTGGAAAAAAATCTTAGAAATAACAAAATATTACAAATACAGGAGATGTTTCCAATAATACTGAAGTGCCAGGATTAGAGTTTTTTTTCCCATAAAGGTGTTTTCTGTAAGGTTATATAAATTCCACAATTGTAAATATAGGTATATGGGAAATGTTTGAAGCTGTTCCTTTTGTGCATGTAAATAATAATAATAATAATAATGGATCACTGATGTTGTGATGCTAATTGATTATATATGTATTTTGCTTTCTTATCTAGGTGGCAGGTCTGGAAATTGGGAAAAAGATCTTTACCATTAACGGTGACCTAGTTTTTCTAAGGCCTTTCACTGAAGTGGATAGCTTTCTGAAAGCATGTTTAAACACTAAAAAGCCCCTCAGGGTACTTGTGAGCACAAAACCAAGGGAGTAAGTTGTTTCTTTGGTTTTAGAAATTATAAAAATAGTAACCAAAATAGGTTACAAGAGCATATGCATAAATGTTATTATGTTAGAAAGTTTTGCTAAATTGTATATATTTTACTGATAATATCCTTCCTTTCCCCACAATTTTATGCACTCAAGGTGATTAAACATAAATAAAATGCAAGGTATATTTTTGAATGTTTGCTATATGTAAGTTAGAACCAATTCAGAAATGTCAGTAATTAAAAGCTCAACAAAAGAAATACATCTTAGCTGTTCACTGAATGAGATTTAAATGCAACTCCAAAGAATGCATTTCGTAGCCTGGGAGTAGTGCAGGAGATGCTGTCCCATGTGCCAAATAAGTAAGACACAATGGCTTTTTCTTCCTCCTGTCATTCTGAATAAATTCATTGGATGGAAAAACTAGTGTCTGAATTTAAATTTAAGTTGGTATAAAATTGTCTTCCACAATTTGGCTCTCTCTGGATTTTAATGATCACTCTTTTTAGTCAATGTGGTAAAATCTAGCACATCTGAAGAGTGGCTGGCATTGATATATTTATATAATAATTTTTGCCATTAATCAATAATACCCAAATATCAATAAATTATTACATTTATCATTCTGTTAATCTTTGTTAGCATATTATGTAGAAATAGCATTTACTTATCTTTTTGCTTGATATGCCAATTTTTGTTCAGAACGAATATTGGTTAGCAATCACAATTGGGACTGGCAACTTGATTGCTAAGTGATGCAGTCACTAAATGAAATGTCACTTGATCTTGATGGGCTTACAATATCACTTCCCATTCAGTTGTTAAGCGAATCACCACCAGTTGTTAAGTAGGATATGACATGACTGTGATTGCAATTTTATTGCCAGTTTTTGCAGTGACGCTGCTTGTCAGAATCTGTTTATGAAATGTGTAAATGGTGATCATGTGACCGGGGGAAGCTGCGGCAATCATATTTGAGGATTAGTCATAAAGTTTATCAGTGCTGTTTTAGTTATGAATGCATTCAAAACAGGGCAGTCATTAAGCCAGGTCCGTCTATAGCTAATAATATGTTTAAAGCTATGATCCAGGTTTCTAGAAGCAACCTCACTGAACTGAAGTTTATTTTAAAGTTTCTTGCTAGTTTATGTTATAAGCAATGGTTATTTTTTCCACCGAATGTAAGCTTTATTTTTAAAAAATTAAGTACATTATATTATTTTAATCTTATGTAAAATTTGAGGCATAAACAGAAATGTTGGTATTAGATACTTCATTGTGAGGTTTATCTTGCTTAAAGGACAGTTAAGATTCCTGATTCTGTGGATGGTCTTGGATTCCAGATTCGAGGCTTTGGCCCTTCTGTTGTTCATGCTGTTGGAAAAGGTATGAATTGGCCTGCATTTATGAATATTTGGCCAAATGCAGTACAGACACAAACACAGAATCTTGAGATTGAGGCTTGAGGAGTAGTCAGAATTTGATGCATGATTCTGAATTTACTTATAAAGAGTTAGTAATTATTTCTATTGTTATATATAGCCACAATGAATTAAATACTTATACAACCAATAATAAAGAGAATAGTGGGCTTTTGCCTCAAACTACGAACCTAACAAGCATATGTTGATCTGATTTTGTCCAGGAAGAACATGTGACAAGATGTATATTTGGCTTAAGGGTTAATTGATCCTTGCTTTTCATTCTACTTATGTGTTTTGTAAAGGCAAAATACAGTGAGATGTACCTTGTAGAGTATATTTCTTTATGAAAACCATGCGTATTTAAATAAGATATTTCCGTGATAGGAAACTGTAATATCTTGAGATATCCTTTGAGTATGAAAAGACAGGGCATATTTTCATATAACAGAAATTAGCAAAATAAAACTTAAAAAAATCCCAAGAGCTAAATTTTCACCTCTTTTCAGAAATTCTGTAAGGAGGGAGATGGGCTTATGCGTGGGGGAAAGCTGTTTAATTTAGCATGAGAAAGGAATAAGGTTCTAATATGGTAATTTAGTGTGCCATAGCATTTGGGGTTTTATTAATAACTGCTTTCAGACTGCATGGGATCCAATGCTGTAAATTCATCTTTGGTGAATTTATCCTGGCTGAACCTTATTCAGTGTATTGTTCGCAGCCCATAATTAATCGCATTAATTTTTTATAAAATAAATCCTTAAAATATGATTATGCTTTGCCTTCCTCATCTAGGGGAGTGAACCAACAAAATGCAATGTTTGTATCCTGACTTTCAGAGATTGGACAACTACATATTTGGGAAATATGTAGCCCCTAGGAAAACTGAATATTTTTTTTCTTAACTGATTATTATTATTATTATTATTATTTATTGAATTTATATCCCGCCCTTCTCCTTGCGGACTCAGGGCGGCTGACAATCGACTAAAAATACACCAATAACAATTACAAAATTAAAATTAATTAAGAAGAAATATTTAAATATTGTCTAATTAAAATATGATTAAAACCCCTCTAAAAATTGCCCTAGGCCAGTCCCGCTTG